GTGGATGGTAATGGTGGGAAGTGGGGTGGTTTCTGATGATGGGAGTCTGGGGTCTCCCTGGGGTTCAGGGTAACATCACGTGTCTGTCCGTGTGTGGAAGAGCATGCTGCTAATGTCTGCTATACTGGACTCAGGTCCCAGCCACTTGTCCCTTCCTTAAGACTCCTGTCTGGCTGATGACCTGCTGGCACCTGGGAGGCAGGGAGGACACCTGCCCCAGCCTAGGGGTTCCTGGGCACTCCATTACCTGACTCTCTGCAAGGAGCCCCAACAACCTGGCAGCAGGAGCCTGGCCAGTGGAAGGACCTGGTTCTGCCTTCTGGTTGCCTGTCTTAGACCTGCCAGGCGGGTGATGGGTGGGGCTGCCGGGAAGCACAGTTGTGGGCAAGGGGCTGCAGCTGCCATGGAGCCCATGCTGGGTGGGTGCTCATGCCAGCCGGCTCTCTGGGATAGAGTGTGTCAAAGTGTGTTCCTCAGGGGAGGCGCCCCTACCTTTGAGATGGTCAACAAGATGGTGGGTGCCTGCTACCTCTGTCCACTAGCCCTTGGTTAATGAATTGGTGTGCTGGTTTGCAGGTGACTCTGATCTGAATACAATTTGTTCCAGGGTGCTTGAGGTGGGTGGCATGGTTAGCAAGCTCTATTGTACGGGGCCGGCCCCTGGTGAAGCCTTCTCACTCCTGATTTTCTTCCCATGCCCGCCAGAACCGTGGATCTTGGGGTTACTCTCCTTTGTGCCCAGGGACAGTCACTGTAGGGCCACCCTCTCTCTGCATGCCTTCAGTTCTAGATTGAATTGTGCACCCTACGCAGATAGGGGCTGCCCACCCTGACCCTTATGCCTTCGGATCTAATCCCACTGGAGAAGAGTGCTTATGTCATCGAGGCCACATCCGTAGGGTGTCTCTCAAACGAATCACACTTGAGGTAGAGCAGAGTAGACTGAACCAGAGGACTACAGACATGCGGGTGCAGGGGGGTTTAGGGAGCAGAGGAGACCCCAATCTCTGGAGACATAGCCGTAGACCAGTCTACACACCCGACAACTCCCAGGGCAGCTGGCAGAGCAGTGGAGGATTCCTGCTAGAGCAGAGAGAGCCTTTCCAGACCACTTGCTTGCTGTGTGGTCTTAAACAAGGTACCTCACCTCTCTGTGCCTTGGTTTATATATTAAGTGGGGCTGGCAATGCCTCTGGCTGTTGTTTGTAGGTACCATTGAGTCGGTTGCCATAGTGACCCTATGCACAACAGAAGGAAACATTGCACGGTCCTGTGCCATCCTTGCCATTGTTTCCATGCCCGATCCCATTGTTGTAGGTACAGTGTCAGTTCATCTCATTGAGAGCCACCTCTGGTGGTTGCATGGATTAAATCTATCTGAAGATGGTCCCCAGGAGCCCTGGCAGCATAACGGTTATGCCTTGGACTGCTCACCCAAAGTTCGGCAGTTTGAAACCACCAGCAAACCCACACAGGCAGTTCTGCTCTGTCTCAGAGGGTCGCTCTGAGTCAGAATCCACTCACTGGCAGTGAGCTCGGCCAGTACT